GCCCTGTGATGAGGAAGCACTGAACTTTTCCCAGCAAAGCTTCTACTGACCTCCTTAATTAAAGACTAGTTTCTGGCCATTAATCTCACTAGGCACTTTTACTCTCATAATATAATGAGTTCATATAATTCTGGATAAATCTGGTTCTCCATCTGAAACTATGCAATCATCCACTCATTTATTCAATAAGTTTGTATTAGGAATCAACTATGCAGGGAATTGTGTGTGTGTGTGTGTGTGTGTGTGTGTGTGTGTGTGTGTGGAAATATTTTATTAAGGGTATTTGGGTAGTGGGCATACAAAAGTGAATAAAACAAAGTCCTTGCTTTCATGGAGCTTACATTCAACTGAAAGGAGACAGACAAATAAATGCATGTATAGCAGTGTTAAGAGCACTGAAGAAGGGGCCCCCGGGGTGGCTCAGTAGGTTAAGGGTCTGACTCTTGATCTCGGCTCAGGTCATGACCTCATGGTTCATGGGCTCAAGCCCCAAGTTGGGCTCTGAGGTGACAGTGTGCAGCCTGCTTGGGATTCTCTCTCTTTCTCTCTCTCTGCCTCTTCCCTGCTCACATGCATATGCTCTCTCTCAAAATAAATAAATAAACTAAAAAAAAGCACTGAAAAAAAAATTAAGCAGAGTAAGAAGAATGTACAATGCCAGATTGAGTGAGGATGGAAGCACTTCCTGTTGTGTATTTCCTTTGGTTTGTTTCTCCCCACTAGAATATAAACTAATCAAGGCATGGGTTTTGTCTATTTTGTACTTTTCCCTAGCACCAGTGGTCAAAACAATGCCTTTGTATTCTAGAACCAAAATATGGGAGAGTGGACAAAAACTGGGATTCATCTGTCAAATTGGTAAGTTCCTCAGCCACCTAGCTGAAGTGCCCTGACTTCTGGTCCAGCCAAAGAAATATGGGAACTATTGTCAGGTTGCTGTAGAATGAGGTAAAAACCAAGAAGCTTTTCAACTGACTTTATTAAGGAATAATTTGCACCTAGTAATTAATAAACAACTAGCTTTATCCAGGCTGACACATTCCAGTTTAGGTTTATATCAGTCAGCTCAGGCTGCCATAATGAAGCACCGAGGACTGGGTGGCTTAAACAATAGAAATTTATTTTCTCTCAGTTCCAGAGGCTACAGGTACAAGATCAAGGTGTCGGCAGGATTGGTTTCTGGCGAGATCTCTCTTCTTGGTTTGTAGCTGGCCTGTTCCCTTCTCACACTAGCCTTTCCTCTGTGTGCTCACAGAAAGTGGGAGGTGGGGCTTGGAGGAGAGAGGGGAAAGGATAGAAGGGGACCAGGTGGGGGCCAGGGGGAGAGAAATCTTTAGTATCTCTTCCTCTTATAAGGACACCAGTTTTATCTGATTAGGGATCCAACCCTCAGGACTTCATTTAACCTTAATTACTTCCTTAAAGGCCCCATTGCAGGGGCGTCTGGGTGGCTCAGTAAGTTAAGCGTCTGACTTTGGCTCAGGTCATGATCTTGTGGTTTGTGGGTTCGAGCCCCAATTCCAGCGTGGTGCTGACAGCTCAGAATCTGGAGCCTGCTTCAGATTCTCTGTCTCTCTCTCTGCCCCTCCCCTGCTTGCGTGCACGCTCTCTCTCTCAAAAATAAATAAAAACATAAAAAAGTATAGATACATTTGGGGTCAGGATGTTAACATATACATTTTTGGGGGACATAACTCACCCCATAACAAGGTTACAAACATTATGTTATTATACGTTTTTATTTATGAGCATAATACTTTCAGTCCTTTCAGGTAAGATACTTAATGAGGCCAATATGGAACTCCTAAGAGCATAAAATGCTCAACTTCAGCATTAAACTTACAAGGCAAAACTAAGGGTGGGGCCAGGGGGTGGAGCCAGCTGGGCTCCAGTTTCCCCAGGGCTGGAATCTCCCCAGCTTTGGAATTTGTTTTAGACACTTATTAAATAGCTGTTGAATGACAGAGATAGGTAGGGGATATGGATATGGTCAAAGGGAAGTTTCTTTTTTTTTTTTTATTTTTTTGATGTTTTATTGTTTATTTTTGAGACAGAGAAAGCACGAGCTGGGGAGGGGCAGAGAGAGAGGGAGTCAGGAACCGTAGCAGGCTCCGTGTTGACAGCAGAGAGATGTGGGGCTTGAACTCAGGAGCCCTGAGATCATGACCTGAGCCAGTCACTTGCTTAGCCAACTGAGCCACCCAGGTGCCCCAAAGGGAAGTTTTTTAAATTGCTTTCTGTCACTCAAGTGAAAGATACAGGATTACTATCACTTAGTGTTGCCTCAGGCCCTATCTTTATTCTTCTGTGGCCAAAATCCCCTGCTGAGACAAATCAACCCTGCCAAATGAGGACACTTTTTAAAAAATGTATTTGTGATCCTGATTTTTTTATTTTTATTTTTGAGAGGGAGAGAGCGAGAGCAGTGGAGGAGCAGTGAGAGAGAGAGAGAGAGAGACAGACAGACAGACAGACAAAGGATCTGAAGCACGCCCTGCAGTAACAGCAGAGAGCCCAGTGTGAAGGTGGAACTTATGAATCGTGAGATGACGACCTGAGTCAAAGTCAGACCATTAATCGACTGAGCTACTTGATCTTGATTTTAAAACCCGGCTTGTGTTTAGATCCAAAATCCTCCCCAGCAGCCCACAAAATCTAACCCTGACACAGCTGTGACACATACTCAGTTTTCAAAAACTCACTCAAATCCTTTACTTGTCCCTCATGCACTCAATGCAGAAAATATATAATCTTCAGAAATACTCCCTAAAGTCTCTTCAGTTGTCTTCCATTTGCTGCCCTCAGGCACTGCCGAAAATGCAAAATCTTTTGCGCATTTCTTGCCTTAAATTCTTTTTGAGGAGAAGGGCAGAGAGAGAATTCTAAGCAGGCTCAGCACTGTCAGCGTGGGGCTTGAACTTGCAAACTGCAAGGTCATGACCTGAGCTGAAATCAAGAATCAGTAGCTTAAACGACTGAGCCACCCTTGCATCCCGCCTGTTTCTTTCTAAACATGGCCTGGGATTTCCTGACCAATCCTGTGCACTCCTGAACTCTTCTTGTTTTCTTCTCCTTCAAAAACCAAGACCTACTCTGAAAAGGCAATTTTTGAGGAAGGGAGGGAGAGAGAAAAGATACGAACACTGATATGCCAATATTTTTCCCTGTTCCTCTCTCCCATCTCACCAATATAAATAATTAACATACATTTATTCGGTCAACACACTGATTTCAGTAGATAAATGGTTAACCTTATTAGCACTTGATAATGAGGAAATAGTGTTCCAACCAATGGTAGTCAACACTGTAAATCAAAAGATATATATATGTTTACCGTAGCATTATTTACAATAGCCAAGATATGGAAGCAACCCAAGTGTCAACTGAAAGATGAATGGGTAAGTGTATATACACACACATACACACATAGTGGAATATTATTCAGCCATAAGAAGGAGATCTTGCCATATGCAACAAGATGGATTGATCTAGAGGGTATAATGCTAAGTAAAATAAGGCATCAGAGAAAGACAAATACCCTATGATTTCACTCATATGTGGAATTTAAGAAAAAATGAGCAAAGAAAAAAGAGAGTCAAACAATCCCCCCTCCAAAAAAAAAAAAAAAAAAAAAAAAAAAAAAAAAAAAAAAAAAAAAAAAAAAAAACAACCAAAAAACCCAGACTCTTAGATATAGAGAACAAACTGGTGGTTGTCAGAGGGGAGGTAGGTGGGGGTGCAGTTGAAATAAATAAAGGAAACTGAGAGAACATTTATTTTTTTAACAGAATCTCTTTAATGTTTATTTATTCTGAGACACAGAGCGAGATGGAGCATGAGCAGGGGAGGGACAGAGAGAGAAGGAACAAGAGAATCCCCAGCAGGCTCCATGCTGTCAGCTCAGAGCCCACACACAGGGTTCAATCTCATGAACTGTGAGACCATGACCTCCGTAGAAATCAAGGGTGGATGCTTAGCCGACTCAGCCATTCAGGCGCCCCGAGAGTACACTTACCTTAATTAGCATTGGGAAATGTATAGAATTCTTGAATCATTGTATTATACCCCTGAAACTAATATAACACTGCATGTCAATTATACTTGAATTAAAATAAAATAAAAAATGCAAGTTAATCTCTATTATATATTAGATTTAGGTTTCAGTGTATGGGTGACATTTTAAGTTGGATTAATCTTCAAAATAATTTATTAGGACAAGAAAAATAAGGTGCTGATCAATTGTTTTGGCGGGACAAAATACGATAGGGAAAATCGTGAAAATTTTTTCCTTAAGCTGTTCAGAGCCGCATTATTGTAAAACGTAACAGACTGTCAACAACCTAAACACCAGCACTTGAATATTAGGTAAATAAACTGAGAAAGAATACGGCGAAGTACTAGACCCAAATAGTTTTAGAAGTGAAAAGGAAACATGCCTAACAATTACTGTTAATGGGGAAAAACAAGAAGGCACAAGGCAATAGGTACAATTCCCTAAAATACACTTCAAAAAGATTCCCCGCTGATGATAATAATGATGATGAGATTTTCCCTAAGTTCTCTATTCTTTTAACGTTTTAGTGTCATAAATAAAAATTGGAAGACAAATGAAAAACGAGAACAAAAACTACACCTTTACCTTAGTGTATTTGTATACGACAACATTTGAAAGACGGTCTCAATAAGGCAAAGAGCTCTTGTAAAGCTCCACATTCCCGTCCTTTGCAGAGGCAAGGAAACCCGATCGTGACCCGACAACCTGCGAGTCTTTCAACAAACTCAAGCCAACCTTCACGGCTCGCCCTGGAAGCTCGGTGGGTCCCGGCACGCCTTCCAGAAACGCCTCCCGGCCTCTGCGACGAGGCCGGAAGTGACGCACAAGCTGCGACGCCCGCGCTGGCAGTCCGCTGCCGCCGTCGCAGCCGCCGCAGCCGCCGGAGCGCGCTTTAGGTAGCTTCAGAGACGGCGGGCTTTCCCTGGATGGTTGCAGCAGGGGGATCATGACGGGGAAGAAGTCTTCCCGGGAGAAGCGGCGTAAACGAAGTGGTCAGGAGGCGGCCGCGTCGCTCGCGGCACCGGACCTGGTGCCCGCCCTCGCCAGTAGCGGCAGTGGAAGCACCAGCGGCTGCGGGAGTACCAGCGGCTGCGGGAGCGTCACCTGCTGTGGGAACACCAGCTTCAGTGGAAGTGTCACCGGCGGTGGGAGCGGCGGCAGCTGCTGGGGCGGGAGCAGCGTGGAGCGCAGCGAGCGCCGGAAGCGGCGGAGCACTGACTCATCTTCCAGCGTCTCGGGGTCCTTGCAGCAGGTGCGTGCGCGTCCTTCTCGCTGCTGTCTGAGCGGCTGCATTCTCCCAGTAAGGCGGACGTAAGGCTGGATGTGACGGCGGATGGAGGTCTGGTTGTAGCTCAGTTAGCGCTGCGACCGCGAGCTTCTACCCGGTCTTGAGGTTCATTTTCCTAAGTACCGGTGAACCGCATACTCCCAAGTCTTTAAACTTAAAGTTTCTGATTTGCCGATTGTCTAGTTCTTTGCGTTTGGCCCCTTCCACTCCTGTGGGAATCTGTCTGAAAAGTATGGGTCGAGGGCTAGCCTTCAATGCCCATGAGAGTCACGCTTTACTTCTCTCTTCATCTTCACCTTTTAATAGATAATGATTAACTTCACAATATAGGATGAGAAAATTGAGGCTCGAAGAGGTTTATGAACTTTACCCACAGTCATAGTTTATTAATAACACTTAAATTTGAATACAAAATCTGATTATAAAAGCCATGTTCTTTATACTTTAGCTATCTATCAAGATACCGCCGTTTAAAAAAAAATGCTCAGGGACGCCTGGGTGGCTTAGTCGGTTAAGCGTCTGACTTCAGCTCAGGTCACGATCTCGCGGTTTGTGAGTTCCAGCCCCACATCGGGCTCTGTGCTGACAGCTCAGAGGCTGGAGCCTGCTTTGGATTCTGTGTCTCCCTCTCTCTCTGCCCCATCCCCACTTGTGCTCTGTCTCTCTGTCTCTCTTAAAAATAAATTTTAAAAAGTGGTTATAAGACAAAAGCCTGAATACCTAAACTTCATACAACACAGAAATCAAGAAGTCAAATTGCTGGGTCAGATTTTATGCATTTAAAAAGATTTGGTAGAGGGGCACCTGGTTGGCTCAGTCATTAAACCTTGGACTCTTGATTTCCTTTCAGGTCATGATCTGTTTGTGGGTTCCAACCCTGTGTTGTGGTCTGCACTGACAGCCTGGAACCTGCTGGGGACTCTCTCTGTCCCTACCCCACCCACTGGCTTTCTGTCTCAAAAAAAAAATAAACTTAAAAACAAAAACAATAAAAAGTTTTGGCAGGTACCACTAAATGCTTTCCAAAAAAGGCTTTACTGATTTATAGTCTAAATATTACAAAAGAGTACCCATTTCTGCAAATATTCATTATATCCATTTTTGAAAAATTTGTCAGCTTAATGGGTGAAATTGATGTTTCATGTTTTATATACTCTTGATTAATAGTGAGATTGAACATATTTTATTTACCATTGGATTCCTTATTATGTAAATTGCATATACATATCCTTGGGCCATTTTTCTTTTTGGTTATTTTCAGCTTTTTTTTTTTTTTTTAATTCATTTTTGAGAGAGATCACAGTGGGTAGGCAGAAAGAGGGAGACACAGAGTTTGAAGTAGGCTCCAGGCTCTGAGCCATGGGCACAGAACCCCACACGGGGCTAGAACCCATTAAGTGTGAGATCATGATCTGAGCTGAAGTGGGCCCCTCAGCCGACTCAGCCACCCAGGTGTCCCAGTTATTTTCAGCTCTTTACTGATAAGTTCTGAATCTTTCTACATAAACTCTTGGTTCTAATCTTCTGTGTAAAGTATACTGCAAAAGTTACTACAACTTTGTCTATGGTGTAACTGAAGTTTTTTATTTCTTTGTGGTCAAGGCTAATACTTTCCTTTGCCTTCTGAATTTGTGTGTTTAGGAAGATCTTTCCAGGGGCGCTTGAGTGGCTCAGTCAGTTAAATATCCTTCTGACTTTGGCTCAGGTCCTGAGCTCATGGTTTCTGAGTTTGAGCCCCGTGTTGGGCTCTCTTGCTGTCAGCACAGAACTCGCTTCAGAGCCACTGTCCACCCCCCCACCCTTTCTCTCTGTCCTTCCCCCACTTGCACTCTTTCTCTCTTTCTCTCAAAAATACATAAACATTAAAAAAAAGAGGAAGATCTTTCCATATTCCCTTCCCAACCTGTCCTAAAACTATTCTTTATTTTAATATTTTTAAACATTACATCCTTATTTATTTTTTAAGTTTATTGTTTTGAGAGAGAGAGCGAGAGAGCGTGGAAGGAGCAGAGAGACGGAGGGAGAGGGAATCCCAAGCAGACTTTGCATCGTCAGCGTAGAGCCTGATGCAGGGCTGGAACCCATGAACTGTGAGATCATGACCTGAGCCAGACACTTAACCAACTGAACCACTAGGTGCCCCTAAACATTACATCTTTTAATTGGGAGTTGTGGAAACACAGAAACCCATTTATTTTTATGCATTTTCTCGTATTTAGCCACATTATTATTAGTTTCAAATGACTTAGAAAAATTTGTGTTAACAGGGAGTTTTGTCTATTCTTTTTCAGCACTAATATATCTTGTTTTTTGTACTTTTTCATTATCTAAGACTTTTAGTGTAGTGTTTAGCAGAAGCAATGACAGTAGGCATTTTTTTTCCCATTTGTTTTTTTTAGTGGGAACATTTCTTTTTTTCTGGAACATTTCTAATGTTCACCCATAAGTATATTTGCCAAAGGTTGTGAAAGATACTTATCATCAAGTTAAGGAGATTTTCTCCAATTCCTAGTTCACTGAGGGTTGTAAAGTGTTATTAGATGCTTTTATGGCATTCTGTTTAGATAATCACATAGCTTTCCTCCTTTAATCTGAAAATGTAATTTTTGGTAAGTTGGTAAATTAATTCACGTTAAACTGTCTTGTAGTCTTGGAATAGATCCTATTTGGCTTGGTTATTGTACTCAGCTGGAATTTGATATTCTTTCTTTTGTGTTTTATGTTTCTAAGTTAAGTCAGCCTATGGTTTTTATTTGTGTAGATATCCTGTCTGGTTTTGGTATCAAGATTTTACTAGCCTCATGGATTGATTTGGGAAGCTTTGCATTTTGGGGATGTGTTCCAGAATAGTTTCTCTGTCTCTCTCTCTCTCTCTCTCTCTTTCTCTCTCTCTCCCTCCCTTTTCTTTCTTTCTTTCTTTCTTTCTTTCTTTCTTTCTTTCTTTCTTTCTTTCTTTTTCTCTTTCTTTCTCTCTTTCTTTCTCTCTCTCTCTCTCTCTCTCTCTTTCTCTCTTTCTTTCTATTTATTTTTGAGAGAGGGAGAGAGCGCAAGCCGGGAATGGACAGAGAGAGGGTGGGGACAGAAGATACAAAGCAGGCTCCGCACTAATAGCACTGAGCCTGATGTGGGGCTCAATCTCACAAACTGTGAGATCATGACCTGAGCTGCAGTTAGATGCTCAACCGACTAAGCCACCCAGGTGCCCCAGTTTATATCTTTTTCTTGAAGATGTATCAGAACTGGACTATTGGACCATACAGCTGTGTGGGTCTGGTGAGTGTTTTAGGGGCAGGTTTTATTTATTTATTTGTTTTTACTTTTTTTTCCTTCCAATTATTTGATAGTTATAGATCTATTCAGTTTTTTCACACCTTGTAGATTTAATTTTGGATATCATTATTCTTATCTTAATTGTTTCCATATCTTTTATACTCTTTATCATGGTGAGAGGCCAATAAGCTACATATTGTAAACATTCGCATGCAGAACTAAGCCCTAGTTTTAATTTATGAAGGAAAAAAGAGTTCAGAATATATTAGGCATGTAGAGAAGACCTCAGAATTCTGAATGCCGTTATATCTGTTGTACATTGCATTCCCTATTATTATTGTTGGTGACAGCTTTATAGAGATATAATTCATATACCATATAATTCACGTCTTTCAAGTATACATTTCACTGATTTTGAGCGTATTCATGGAGTTGTACAACCATCACTGTGGTCAGTTTTAAAATACTTTCATCACCCCCAAAAGAAACCCAATGTGAACCTTTCAGCTCTCATCCCTAATACTCACCGCTACCACATTCCATCCCTGGGCAGTCACTACTTCCTATCTCTATAGATCTATAGATTTTCCTGTTCTGGACATTTTATGTGAATGGAATGATATTTCAGTGAATGGCTGTTCCACAATTGGTTTTTCCATTTTTCACTTGATGGACATTTGGATTGTTTCCACCTTTTGGCTATTACGAATAAAGCTGCTATGAACATTTGTGTACCAGTTTTTGTGCAGGCATGTGGTTACATTTCTCTTGGATGTATATCTAGGAATGGAATTGCTGGGTCATAAGGTAACTTTTTGAGGAGCTGCCAGACTGTTTTTCCAAGCAGCTGTACCACTTTCTATTCCTACTAGCAGTGTGTGAGAGCTCCAGTTTCTCTACATCCTCACTAACACTTGAATTATTTTGTGAGCCATTAAAACGAGCTAATGTTCTTTACTTTTTCAGTCTAATTATCATAATAGTCTTTAAAATTGGCATGTTTTTAAATGACTTTTAAAACAATTCTATTAGAAAATATAATAAACAGGGGCGCCTGGGCGGCTCACAAAGTTGACCAAGCGTCCAACTTCGGCCCAGGTCATGATCTCACCGTTTGTGGGTTCGAGCCCCTCATCGGTCTCTGTGCTGACATCTCAGAGCCTGAAGCCTGCTTCGGATTCTGTGTCTCCCTTTCTCTCTGCCCCTCCCCCCAACTTGTGCTCTGTCTCCCTCTGTCTCAAAAATAAACATTAAAAAAAATTAAAAAAAAATGATAAACATACCTGAACTATATAGTCAGGGAGAATTTTCTTGAAGAAATGCCTTTTGAATTGATATCTGAATTTGTTACTTTTAAGAGTATAGGATGGGGGAGGGGGGAGTGGGAGGAAAGACCATTCAAGTGGGAACGGTACATACAAAAGCCCTGCCTATGTGAGGTGAAGGGAGAACAGGTTTTATTTGAAGGCCCAGATAGGCTTTGTTATCCAAAGATCAGTGTGAATTCACTGGAAGGTTATAAATAAGGAGGATGAGTATATGTACATTTTATAGAATCTATTCTAGTAACAGTATACAAAACAGATTGGAGAGACAGATTAGATGTAAGGCACCCAGTTTAGTAGCTGCTAAGGTAATCTAGGCAAAAGATGATGGTACCTTGGACCAGGATTATGGCAGTAGATTTGGAGAAACTGATAGATTTGGGAGATAAGAGGTAAAATTGACAGAAATGTTTTAAATTACTTGGCTGCTTTGAATATGATTAAATTACATAACATTTTTAAAATGAGCATAGCTCCTGATAAGCAGTAATACTTTATAGTATTTGTGATCTTTAACATTTTTGCTGCTGTGCCATTCTGTTTTATGAATTTAAGAATAACAATGCATATATAAAATTTTGAGTTGAGTGGCCTGCGAGAGTAATATCCTAATTCTTCAGAAGTCTAAAATTATAGGAGGTCACTCAATAGTGAGTATATTTTCTTTTTCTTTTTTTGATGTTGAGTATATTTCCTTTTATATGTCCTAAGGTGGTATTTCTTTGCTTAATATCACCTTATCAAGTTAAGTGTAGTTTGGAGAGTAATATCAAGGAATATTGAACAATTAAAAGTCCTTGTTAATGGCTTTAGGTAAATAATCTATGCAAGCAAAGAATTTGGAAATGTTTAATGAAGTAGTTATTAAATATAAATGTATGACATCATATACATTCTCCTTTATTTAATGGTTCATTGTCTTTTTTAATTTTAGGATACCAGATACCTTCTGCCAACTTTGGAAAAAGAATTATTCTTGGCAGAGCACAGTGACCTTGAAGAAGGTGGACTGGACCTGACTGTGTCACTAAAACCAGTTAGTTTCTACATATCAGACAAAAAAGAAATGCTTCAGCAGTGTTTCTGTATCATAGGCGAGAAGAAGTTACAGAAGATGCTTCCTGATGTGTTAAAGGTATTTCATTACATATATTATTGGATTATACCCAATATAGAAATATATACCTTTTTTGTAGCTGTGATTTTACTTAATGTAAATTATATAATTGGATGTTTTCAACTAAAACAGGCTACTTCAAAAAGATTTAAAAAAGGGATTTTGGAGAACTATAAATGGCTTTGTATATTGAAAAGTTTGCCAAGAGGGGCACCTGGGTGGCTCAGTCAGTGAGCATCCGACTTCGGTTCAGGTCATGATCTCCCAGTTCCTGAGAGGTTCCCGAGTTCAAGCCCCATATCAGGCTGCTGGCACAGAACAGTTTTTGAATCCTCTCCCACTCTTTCTGCCCTTACCCCGCGCACACGCCCTCTCTCTTTCTCTCTCACAAAAATGAAAAATAAATAAATAAAAATTTAGGTAAGGGATGTATTGACCTTTTGGAAATAATTCTATTAAATGCAGGCAATTTTAGTAACTAAATTAGAGGTATAATGATTCTTTCTGGTGCTTTAGGAAATAATAATTCTGCTATGTAACAGTGCACAATATTGGTTGGCAAAAGCTTATATTTCATTAAATTCAGAAATATTTTCATATATTCATGGTATTCTAATTTTACAGTTGTGGAAATAGGGCTTAGGATCAAAGATGTTTAGAACCAGCACTTGAGTATTTAAATCATTAGAGGAATTACCTAACAAATAGGCTGCTATTAAAAACATCTGGGTACCTGACTTACTCTTTAGTTTGTTCTTTCCTAACAAACTTGACTTTATTTTCATCAAGTGTAAGTTGTAACGTTTACAAATTAATTGGCCCGTTTTTCAGATTTCATCTCAATGAAAAGATTTATCTGGCTTTTAATTTGTTTTAATGTAAGATTTTGCTAACCAGACTTTTTTCTTTGTAATTGCTGTTTTCCAGTTTACATTGGTGCTATATTACATAAGTGTATTTCTTTTAATGACATTTTCTTTAGAACTGTTCAATAGAAGAAATTAAAAAGCTGTGCCAGGAACAGTTAGAGCTCCTATCTGAAAAAAAAATCTTGAAGATTCTTGAGGGTAAGAACATATTTCTACACTCTGGTAACTTAGTAGTTAATATTATATTTAGCATAAATCCTAGGTTATTCTTTTTTTAACTTGGATATTACTTTAATTTCATTAAAGTAATGATAATCATTGGATAATCATTGAGTAATTTTACTTCTGTTTGTACTTTGAAATATAGTTTACATATCAGAATAGCATTTCAAGAATAGACTTTTTGTTATCATTTTCTGAAATCAACTGTGTAGGTAAGAGCATAAGTTTGTACACAATAATAAAATGAAATGAAAGATTTTACCCAAAGCACTGTAAAAAAATTATTAATTATTGAGATAGCTTTTCTTGAAATAATTTTTTATTTTCTGCTTTATGTTCTTACGGCTTTTAATTGCCTGTTGTATACTGCTTTTGCTCTAATAAGACTTGGATGCAGAGTGGGAAGAATTTCTTGGAGATTACCTACATTTATCTGTCTGCCTGAAGTATGACTCTGTGACATTATTAGCTGTAGAATTTTAGATTTTCAAGCTTTTTTTTTTCTTTTGGAACTATACAAGGATTTTAGCATTAATATTACAAGAGAAGAAGCAGAAAAATGGAGACACTGGATTCCCAGAGATAACATCTTTTTTTAAATGTGAAATGGTTTAATGGGGTGATGTGGCTCGCTCAGTTGGTAGAGCATATGACTCAGCGTTGTGAGCTTGAGCCCCACGTTGGGTATAGAAATGACTTGAAAATAAAACCTGAAAAAAAAAATAAAAAATTTAAAATGGTTTAATGGAGTTTATAACTTTGCTAATAGATGTATACATCTGGGTATAGTCTGTAAGTATATACACACACACACATATATCTATAAAATAGATAAAGGGAAGGCAATTAGAAATACCTAATAAAGCATCAAAAAAACTCATTTTAAATGTAAGCAATTAAAAACGTCCTCTCATCAGTTACAAAGTTCTTTAATTTGCATCATTTTTCTGGATGACACTTTGTGTAATGATTAAATTGTTATGACATTTTATAAGTATGCGTTCAACAGTTTATTTTATTTATAAGGTGACAATGGTATGGACTCTGATATGGAAGAGGAGGCAGATGATGGCCCTAAGATGGGATCTGATTTAGTCAGTCAGTAAGTTAAAAACTTTCATTTCCGTTTCAAAATTTCTTTGTTGTTCCTTCAGTGATTTCTTACCTCAAGAATGTGATTGTTTTTCTGTGTTGTATTTATATAAAATGATTCAACAGTGTAGATTTGTTTACTTATAATAATTGATTTTGGTATATATGAACATACAGTTAATTGCTTTCAGGATTAAGATGATTTTCTTAAACTACTAGTCATAGATGTAAAACAGTGATGCCGGCCTGCAGCTGAATCACTTCTGTCATTTGGAATTTGAATTAACTACTAGTGATACTCACTATTTATTAAGTACTTTCTCTATCAGGTATTGTGTTAGTAGTTTAGAACACTTTAACTCACTGACTACTTCTAGTACCTGTTAATATCAGGTGATAATTGTCACATTTCACAGATGAGATAGTAAGGTGGTTCATTTTATATAGGTACATAAAATTTGACTATTGTGATGATAAAAAACACCCAGAGTTTTGGGGATGCTAATATAAGTCTTTTTATTTTGGAAAATTTCAAACTTACATAAAAGTTGAAAGAATCATATAATGAAATCAGCAACATTAACATTTTGTTATTTTTGCTTTCTCTCTCTTTACCATTTTTTTTTTTCTCTCAGAGCCATTGCATTAGTTTGTTAGGACTGCCATAGCAAAATATCATACACTGGTTGACTTAAAGAAAAGTTCATTTTCTTATAGTTCTGGAGGCGGGAAGTTCAAGATCAAGGTACTGGCAGGGTTGGTTGCCTCTGAGGCCTCTCTTCTTGGTTTGCAGATGGCCGCTTTGTTGCTGCTTCTTGACTTGTTTGCCCTTCTCTCTGTGTGTCCCCTGTGTCCTCCCCGTGGACAGGTGTCTCTCCCCGTGTCCTGATCTCTTCTTTATAAGGACACCAGTAAGATTGGATTAGGGTACACCGTAATGGCCTCATTTTAACTTAATTACCTCTTTATTTTTATTTTATTTTTTAATATTTATATTTGAGAGAGAAGAGAGGAAGAGAGAGAGCACGCTAATGGAGGGGCAGAGAGAGAAGGAGGCACAGAATCTGAAGCAGCCTTTAGGCTCTGAGCTGTCAGCACAGAGCCGGATATGGGGCTCGAACTCATGCACTGCGAGATCATGACCTGAACCGAAGTTGGACACTTAACCAACTGAGCCACCCAGGTGTTCCACTTAATTACCTCTTTGAAGGTCCTATCTCCAAAATAGTCCTATTCTTTTTTTTTTTTTTTTAATTTTTAAGTTTATTTATTTTTGAGAGAGAGACAACAGGTGGGGAGGGACAGAGAGAGGGAGAGAGAGAATCCCAAACAGCTTCTGCACTGTCAGCGCAAAGCCCAGAGTGGGACTTGAACTCACAAAATGAGATCATGGCCTGAGCCAAAACCAAAGCTGGATGCTTAACTGACTAAGCCCCCCAAGTGCCCCCAAAGTAGTCATATTCTGAGACACTGGGGTTGAGGCTTCAACCTATGAATTTTTTAGTAGAGGGAAACATAATTAAGCCCATAAATCTGTTTTTTTTAATTTAGTTAAATTTTATTTTATTAATTTTTTTATTATTATTTAAATCCAAGTTAGTTAACATGTTGTGTAGTAATGATTTCAGGAGAATTTAGTGATTCATCACTTACATATAATACTCAGTGTTCATCCCAACAAGTGCCCTCCTTAATGCCCATCACCCATGTAGCCCATCCTCCCACCCATTAATTTTTATTTTAGAGAGAGAGAGAGAGTGAGAGAGCAAGCAGGGGAGAGGGGCAGAAAGAGAGAATCTTAAGCAGGCCCCATGCTTAGCATGGAGACTGGTGCAGGGCTGGATCCTATGACCTTGGGATTAGACCTGAGCCAAAATCAAGAGTCCTTTGCTCAACTGACTCAGCCACTCAGGGGCCCCACCCATAAATCATTTAAAAATAAATTGCAGATGTCATAGCATGTCATGCTTAATTCGGTATGCGTTTCCTAAAAATAAGGACAGTCTACTCCATAGCCACAATACAATATCACTTTAAAAAAAATAAGCAGTAATTCAAATAATGTCCTCTAATATATTGCCCACATAAAATTTGCCCTGTTACTAAAAAAATATTTTATAGTGTATTTATTTATTTTAATTAATGAACTGATTCTGATCCAGGATCCAGTTAGAATTCATGTGTTTCATTTGACTGTTAGCATAACAAAGCTGAGTTTAAAGGGAGGGTTTAGATGTGAGAAATAAAAGCTTAATGACTAGCCTGGGAACTTAGTGCCCATCTTAAAGGAATTTAAGAAATAACAAAGTAGGGGCACCTGGATGCCCCACTTGGTTGAGCCTCTGGCTCTTGATTTAGGCTCAGGTTGTCATCTCAAGTGTGGAGCCTGTTCAGGATTCTCTCCCTCCCTCTCTCCCTCCCCCTCCTGTATTCTTGTGCGTGAGTTTTCTCTCTCTCTTTCAAAATAAATAAACATAAAATAACTTTAAAAATAACAAGTTAAGCCAAAAGAAAGTTGGAAAAATGAAACAAACAAATGTAAACATTAAAACTAAAGAAATAGTAAGCAAACAAAAGGATGAGTAAGTTATAAACTTGGTCTTTGTAAAGACCAGAACATAGATTGACTCCTTGGAAGGACATCAGTGGAGAACAGTTATAATTGAGGTTAGGAAGAAAGGAGATAATATCATAATTATAGATAGGTGTGAATTCATACACAGCATTGTATAAACAAAGTTGAAACTAGCAAATGGATGATTTTCTATCAGAATACAAATAAACCAAGTAGACTTTCTGGAAAAGTAGAAAATTTGGAGATTAACAAAGAAGAAATTAGAAAGTGAATAGGGATCTACTGTTGAAAAAACTCCAAGACAAGGTGAATTCACAGCTGAATTATTACTTACTAAGTCAAAACATGTAAAGTGTTTACAGCTAATAAAATATTCAATAATGCCTTCTGTTGTTATTTTCAAACACGTTACACCTGTGTTATTTAAATTATTTCAGGCCGTAGGAAAAGGTGTAAAGGTCTTCAATTTACTTTAGGATTTCTGCATAGCTTTAGTACCCCAAATCTCATAAGTAGTGACGAAAAAGTGTATGGGGGATTATAGGCCTTCTCACTTGTGAATATAGATGTAAAGATTGTAACTACATGTTAGCATGTAGAATCCAGCATTGTGTCAAGTAAGTAGTTACACCACTGACCGTGCAGAATTTATTCCAGGAATAAATTTACAAGAAATTTAATTAGAAAGTCTATTAGCATAATGCATATCAGCAAATTAAAGAAGAAAAATTATATGGTCTGATAAGTAGATACTAAAAAGGCCTTTGATAATATACAGCAGTCATTTCCAATATAAGCTATAGGTAAAAAAGATACCATAGAAAACAATTCAGATGTGATGAAGGCATTTGACCAAATTTAACTACCCACTTAGTGAATTAAAATGAGGAACTAGACAGGAAGCCTGTTAAGGCCATTAATTTTAAACATTTTCTAGCATTTCTAAACATTAAACATTTCTAGCAAATGCAGTTAGACCAAAAGAAAGATGGGTGGTGGAGAGTAATTAATTTTGATATGATAAACTTTGGAAGAAGAAATAACTGTATTTCTCTTTTCAGTTTATAAGATTATAAATCTAGAGTAGCTGAGAGATTCTAGGTTCTTAAAAAAAGACTAGAATTTGATAAGATGGACTATATATAAGCATAAGAAAATCAACAACTGTTCCCTCTTATAGCAGAAGCATCTATAAAAAGGATGCATTAAGCTTTTCCAGACAGACAGATGTGTGTGTGTGTGTGTGCATGTGTGTATGTGTATAGGGTATGTATAGTTACATAAAAGAGATTTATTATAGGAATTGGTTCATGTGCTTATGGATGCCAAGAAGTCCCATGATCGGCTGATCTGCTCTCTGTAAGATGGAGAACAAGAAAAACTGGTGGCAAAATACAGTCTTAGTCCAAAGGACTCCAGAAGCCCAGAAACCAGGAGTGCCCATGTTCCAGGGCAGATGAATGTCTGAACTCCAGCAGACGGAGCTAATTTTCCCTTCTGCCTTTTTTATTCTAGCCCTGAAAGGATTGGATGATGACAGCTCAGGACTATCTGCTTTATTCAGTTCACCAGTTCAAATGCTAATCTCCTCAGGAAGCATTCTCACAAACACCCAGAACTAATGTTTTACCGGCTATCAGGCATTCTTGTGCTGTCACAGGGAACTAAAAAAAAAAAAAATTCTCTTCATACAAATTACAAAAACTAGGATGTGCTTTCCAAATACATTTTATAGGAAATTTATGAAGAATATCCTAACATTTTACTAAAAGACAAAAATCATCTGAAAAAAATAGCATAACATTCTTTTTTTTTTTTAATTTTTTTTTTCAACGTTTATTTATTTTTGGGACAGAGAGAGACAGAGCATGAACGGGGGAGGGGCAGAGAGAGAGGGAGACACAGAATCGGAAACAGGCTCCAGGCTCCGAGCCATCAGCCCAGAGCCCGACGCGGGGCTCGAACTCACGGACCGCGAGATCGTGACCTGGTTGAAGTCGGACACTCAACCGACTGTGCCACCCAGGCGCCCCAACATTCTTAATTGTGTAGTCTATGATGGTGGTGCGTGAAGTTCTTAAATTAGACTAAAACCCCAGATCCATTTGGGTAAAGAGACCAAAATTTAGATACATTAAAAAAAAAAAAGTGCATCTGCATGAGAATTTTTTTTTTTAAGTTTGGGTGTTAAATTATGTCATAAATAAAGTCGGTAACCAAACAGAAGATCTGGAAGAAATACTTGAAAGATACAACAATCCTAATAGTAGTGGAAGCTGGTTTCAGGACAAAAAGATTTCTGCAAGACAGTTAAGGGCAGTTTATAATGTGAAATCCATAAAGATGATCTAACAGGAATATATGCCTTACATATGCCACATATATGTGCATTTCCTGTATGTAGCTGTTACAAGGCAAAAACTACAGGAATCGTG